GCCCATCACAGATGTGCTCCTTGATGATCTTCTCAAAGAGTTTCCCCAGGATTGAGGTAAGACTGACGGGCCTATAGTTGCCCGGGTCCTCCCTCCTCCCTTTTTTAAAGATGGGGACCACATTGGCTATCTTCCAATCATCTGGCACCTGGCCCGAGCACCACGAGCACTTGTAAAGCCATGCCAAGGGCCCTGCAATAACCCCTGCTAGCTCCCTCAACACCCTGGGGTGGAGAGCATCTGGATCTGCTGATTTGAACACATCCAGCCCCTCCAGAAGCACTCTAACCCGGTCCTCCTCAACCCTAGGTCTGGAGGTGTTCCCCTCAAGTCCATCTTGAATCACGGTGGGGGAGTTCTGGTTCCTGCACAAGAAAACAGAGGTGAAGAATTTGTTAAAGAGGTCTGCCTTCTCCTCTGGCGCAACCACCAGATTGCCTAGTGTATCTTGCAGGGGCCCCACGTTTCCCGGTGCCTTCTTCATCCTCCCTATATATTTGAAAAAGGACTTTTTATTATCTTTGATCTTGGACGCTAGTCCTAGCTCTATGTCTGCCTTAGCTTTCCTAACAGCCCCCTTACAGGCCCGGGCATTGGAGGTATACTCCTCTTTGGAGATCGCCCCCCTCTTCCACTGTGTGTACGCCACCTTTTTGGCAACCAGGCATTCCCGGACGTCCTTGGTGAGCCAGGGGGGCTTTTGGGCACTCTTGCCCCCCTTGCTTCTTGTTGGGATCGTCACCCCTTGGGCCCTGAGTATCGTCTCCTTAAGGAATGACCACTCATCTTGGGCACTGAATTTCCCTGCCCTGGAGAACCCCAGTACCTCTCCCACCAATCTCCTCAACTCCCCCTTCTCCCTTTAAATGGTGGTGCAGTAATAGGTGATACAGTTTGAGAAGCTAGAGATAGGCTTGGTCTCCCTCTGTTCTGTTGCTAGGCCTCTTCAGTAAGTGCAGGAAGGGTTTAGTATTCTAGGCTAGCCATCCGGACCTTGTCCTAGCATGAAGTTAATTTAAAATTTTGAAATTGCGCTGCAGAGAACTACTTGTCCACTTAGCGCATTCCTTTTTTTGGAATTAATTTCACTACAGGATTTAGGTGGGGTTTTTTTTCCTTGTACCGCAGTCTGCCACTAGTTCTGCTACTTTGTGTGTGGCTAAGTAAAATCTCTGATCATCAGTATTCATTCATGAAAGCAAATCTAATCCTTTACATTCAGAGAAGGCTCCCACATGCAAATCAGACTGGATTTACAAGGCTGTGTTTCTTTATTCAATATGCTTTGTTTTATGTTTCAAGCAAATAAACATTTCTGTCATCAAATTCATAACCTTTTGAGGAAGTATGGATTGCCGGTTCACTGTGATGAAACCTTTAGCCACTAATGAAGAACATGTCATATTAGGGGTGGTTTAAAAGTAAATTATAGCTCAGCAGAAGAAGAGAGAGACCCTTTTCCCATGACTATACACAAAAGTGTAATCCAGCAAATGCAGTCCAGCTAATGATATAACATGCTGTAGGCTGCTTAACCCAGTTAGCAGGCTGGGGGTCCATATCATGAAAATACCTTTACCATTAATACAAAACGATCCTCTTACTGGCAACCTTACTGACAAGGCTAAGGACTGAATAAAGGGATCACAAAAACTAACTCCCTTCTCTTGCCATAGAGGTAGTCTATCACTCTGGGGCTGGAGAGGAAACTTTTTT